AACAACCGACATAATTTATCTGGATTATTGTAAAGCCGTCGACAAAGTGTCTCATAGAAGACTTCTATCCAATCTTAAAGCATACGGTATTGAGGGACCAGTCTGAGAATGGATCAGAGCGTTCCTACAGGATCTCAATCTGATTAAAATCATCTGTTACATGGCTCCGCTCAGGCGTGGTACGAAGTTAACGAAGCCATGTAACATGTGATTTTAATCAGATTGACAGGATCTAAAACAGCAAGTGACCATAAATGGATAAAAATCTAGCCAATCATCTGTGACAAGCAGTCTCCCCAAAGGAAGTGTTCTGGGGTCAATTATATTCCTTATCTACATAAATGATTTCCCAGACCAAATCATCAGTCCAACAAAGCTGTTTGCGGACGATTTAAAAATATATAGGCAAATAGAGAAAAGTGCCAGTACAGATATAGTTAAAAATACAACGGACACGTATCTCAGGGTTAATACGTACATCAACAATGTAAGGGGGAAACAAGACCAACAAGTGCTACACAATGATCTTTACTCCGCGTGTTCTTGGACGACAAAATGGATGATGAAACTTCACTCCGAAAAATGTGAACACCTCAGAATAGGAAAATCTGAAAACCAAAGACAATATACTATTGAACAAGATAATTCAACATCTAACATAAGATCTATCATGCAATGAAAGGATCTTGGTGTCATCGTCGACAATTCCTTAAAACTTAACAACCATATATCAATTTCAGTATCAAAAGCCAACAGGATCCTCGGGCTTATATTCAGGACCTTCACTTATGTAGATGAAACAATATTTTTGACACTATATAAATCGCTAGTCAGACCACCCTTCGAAAATTTATCCGTTGTCTGCTCTACAAGCTTAAACAAAAGAAAGATAAAATACTACTGGAAAATGTACAGCGTAGAGCAACCAGAATGGTCCAGAACCTAAAAGAAAACTCATACCATTATTTTTTCCAATGTCTAACGTACAGGAACATCAGACATGAAATGTTAAATAAGTTGATACCCTATCATCCTGTGCACCTAGAGTTACTATTGTCTGGAAATGTTGAATGATCAAATGTTGACAATGAGCGTATTTTTGAAATTGTTAAAACTTGCATTTATTCAAGTGACCGTTTCTAAACAAAACTTCATGTGAACAGGTATATGTATCTAATCTGTCATAATCTCTTCTCTTCTAAACCTCTCATTCTGCTCTGTAAGTCTATAGAATAATTGATAGTGTTACTGGTTCAGCAAATTGTATATATATATATATTCTTTTCAAATTGAAGTAATTCCGCTGCATGGCACTTTGATATGTTACCTAGAAAAAACAGGAATGACTCGAGGAAGGATTCTAAGGAATGTGTTTTATATGGACAAACGAATAGCTGATGTGAAAAGAATGTGTAACTAGTGCGTGCCATGCTTTGAATGAACCTTTTGTATCATTCGAAATATACTCTACTAATCTCTATGATCTCTTCTGTCTTTCAAATCTCTCTCTCTTTTTTTTCTCTTTTTTCTTCTATGTTCCTTGTTTTCATACAATTATTTTGATTGGCATATGTCGCTATCACTATCAATGTAATATTAAAGTTGAGTAGAGGGCTTCTATAAGTTGTTATAACTTGTGCCCAATCCATTTGATTATATCAATAAAATATGTTTAAATCAACCTAAAAGATCTAGCTTATCCAGAAAAACTCTGCAAACTAGGATTTCCAACTTTGGAGTACCGGCGTGATAGAGCTGACGTTATCCTACTCTTCAAAATTTTGGAAGGAATAGATATTCTGGATAATAAAAATATATGTTCAAAAAAGCACCAACAAACGTAACAAGAGACAACACAAGGAAGTTCTTTTCAAATGGAGGACGCGTAAACCTATCTACAGTAATAACTGTGTGGTAGACATCTGTAATAATTTGCCAGACAACGTGGTTAACTCTCCAAATCCGAACCCTTTTAAGAACAGACTCAACAAGTTTTGGAAAAACCATCAGTTCTAATTCGAGGCTCAGTGCTATCTGCACACCTGATTTTACCTTTTATTCAAGCGCACCGGAAGCGTAAATACATTCAAAGTTTTTATGTGCGATTGTACAGTAGTACTTTCAGACCGACAACAAATTCGTTTCAAATATAAATCTAGAAAAGTTCTAGATGGTATTTTAATTAAAGTGTTGTAAGATAGCTGGATTTGTAGACGCGAACAATACTGTTAAAAAGAAACTAGTTGAGTGTTTTGTAAATACACATTGCACGAAAATGGAAAATAAGTTATCAGATCTTTCCGAGCGTCATAATTGTAAGCAAGCATTGCGTCGTCATTACATGGTATGAACCACAGAGCACTAGTAGAGAAACGGATTTACTTGCTTATATTTATATTCGCTCCCATTGAAGCTGTGTAAACCGTGACTGCGTATACATTACCGTATACGCAGTGAGATTCCTTGGAGACCATTGTTTCCTTTTGATGAAGTAATTTACATTGTGACGTCATAATGGTAACGTTCATTTGTTTGGATTTACGCACGTTACGGAGGCTTTGTACCATTATAAAAGCAAATGTATTGGAGTTAGCTTTATTCTGAGTGTACCATCATAGAACGAAAATATGTAAATATAAGAATTGATCTTCAGTTTGACTGCGTATACGGTAGTATGAACGCAGTTGGCAGCGAACATATTCTATGGAGCGCGTTAGCGCTCCATAAATAATATGGTCGTTGCCGACTGCGTTCATACTACCGTATACGCAGTCAAAATGAAGGTCAATCCTTAATTACGGCACAGTCGACTTTAAAACTGCAATTAGAGTTAAGATATGGTATTTTCAATTTATACGTAATAACATTTACACTAAAACACAATCAACAGGCCTTAGATTATTGTGTTTATTTGACGAGTTATCCGTCTTACAGACCAAATATTTAAGATTCGTTGTATTACAAGCGATTTCATAACTGTTTAGATTAATGGTATAACTTTGTCAAAATGTTTGAAGGCTTTAACTGCATTAAAGACTTTGTGACATTATTTATGTTACATCTTATGTAAATTAATACAAATACTACCAACGCACACATTCGATTCTGACAACGTACTGTCTCTACATAATCACATCTTGTCACAATACCATGGAAAATAATTAAGATTTGTCTCTGGACTGCGATATTGACCAATTTTCAAGTAATATAATAGTTTGTGTTGGCTCATGGGCTAATATATATATTTGTTACCTTTGGTTACACATGAACTGACCCTAGGATTTTCGTCATTCTACGTTATGTTAATGAACCAACTAAGTAAAAATTGTATACAAACTCACCAAGTTAGATGGTGGTAAAATATGGATGCGTTATATAAGGGACGAAGTGGTACAATCGAAGTCGCCTTCTAACAGCCATCTGACTAGAAGTAATCTACTTCTTCCGGCTTTGTGTTAATCCCTCGATTAATCAAAACATATATTGACTATTTTACACTTGTCAGCAGAAAAAGATGATGGAATTGCCAGCGAGTAACCGAACCTGATTTATAATAAGTAAGGTAGGTCGTTTATGTTCATCAAGAATGACCAGGGCCACGGACAGAGTCCTCGGGAACACTAGCCTGCACATTTTAAAGATTAACTATTGAGATAAGTACTTTTATTATGGATTCGAGTTTTGTGATGTAATGTTTTGATAATGGAACGTAACGTAAGCATTTGGTCACACGATGAAAGACTGAAAAGTCAATAAAAGCTTTTGGAATTGAAACCATGTTTAAGTGCAGCGATAATTTGTCTGATTTAGGTGCATCATTTCATTTGAAATGTTCTCGAATACTTGTCATCGTATATCTGCGATTATGTTGTAGCATGTGATAATGTGTGCAGTTTTCTAGTCTGCGATGAGGTGGCCTGTTTAAGAAGGGTTTAGTATTGAAGATGTTATTGATAATGAGTGCAATATCAAGGTTGATATTATTATGGCAGTATGATAAAGTAGGATTGGTGGACAATCTGTTATATTCCGTCTTTGCGCATTGCAGAGTTATCTTCTCTTGGGAGCAGGTATTGATTGTTACGTCACTTGTTTGTGCAGGGACGTATACTCTATATACTGTCCCTGGTTTGTGAGAGTAACGTCATCAATCTTTGAGAAAACGACGTAATTTGCTTTCACAAACCAATGACGTAACAATCAATACCTGCTCCCAAGAGAAGATCACTCTGCAATACGCAAAGACGGAATAATCAAGAATATGAAACATTGGAGAAATTGATGGAATTGTTGTAAGATAAAGCAATTGCATTGATGTCAGGTGAAGGTGACAGAATGAATGACAGACTGTTGAGGACAAGGTGATATTGTGAGAGAATGTAGGAATGGTGGTGTTGACAGAGATGAGACTGGAGAGATTAAACTAAAGAAACACGGAAATAGAGATAACGAGCGCAAAGTTGAGAAACAATAACCATTGAACTGGAATTGCACTTGAGATAATTCATTATTCCCCAGACCGTGCTAGGCGGCCGGTCACATATTTAGGCGGCCGGTCCAATTATGAAGGAGAGGTTTTAAAATGTTGCCTGGAGCTGTAAGGCATTTACAAATATTTAGATTATCTCAATTTAAAAAAAAAAACTCCTGGTGCTATAATGGGGGGATAATTGTCATCGTGATTCTTGGTAGTGATTTTTTGTTGAATACTGGAATTATTGCAGGTGAATTGTGGGGGGTGATATTATCTATGATAAACATATTGTATTTATTTTAGAAAAGGGCAAATGGGACATTGTACTCAACGTTAACCTGGGTTTCATTCCAATAACAATCAAGATGTGAGGGTATTATCACGCTATCAACGAACACTATATTAACATTTGTGAGGATGTTTTTGGGTGTACAATTTCTAGGTAACAGAGATAGGTCATGCACCCGGATTAAATAAATTATTCACCGGAAGTCCCATAGACACAAAACACGCTCCGACACGTAAACGGCTATTATTGACTGCATGCCACTGCCCATATGTGTGCAAATCTGCTGGCGCGCCTTTTATATAGACATTCTGCTCCGATCGTCAAGACCAGCACGCACAAGTAGTGTCTGTTCCACTCCAGGTAGGGGTAAATCAATTGCACAATCGTTGATTATCTTGTTGATTAACATGGATGTTGCCTCTTCTACATATAAATGTATACTTTGTATATGACTGTATCACATATTATCTTACTCTTCGTATCTGCACTGTACACGTGACAAGCGATGTCATTATGTAAGCCCACTATTTCATGCATATCAGCAAGTACATTGTAATCACCAGCGCAACCCTTAACTACTGGGCGCATAGCTGTACACTAGCGTCTAGCTTCGCGCTAGAAGACATTTCCCTTTGCCCAATCGGTAGAGCGGGGGAAAGGCAGAAAAGGGGTTCCTGGTCCGATCCCAGTGAGAAGCATACTGTTCTCTTTTCTGTTTCACGCACTTGTAATTAGATTATTTACAAGTTAATACTTTGGTAGGTTTCGAACGCCGCAGTTATGGACTGCTTGTTTTGTCAGTGTATCCAATTCGCCACCAACATTCGTATGCAATGATGTCACATATATTGGGCACTAATTCATTGTAACTAAAATGGTATTTAAATGCACGGAATAACCCTAACTGTTTGCTAAAGATGTACTCCAGAGTTTAAAAACACTGTAAGATCAGCCTTTCCAACAGCGTTATCACAATTTAATCTGCGATTCAGCTCCGAGGGGAATTGTTTGATTAACTGCGAGCCAGTTGAAGTATATATGTTCAGATAATTTAGTCATACCTAAAATTGAGATTCGCAAAATACTTTGGAATCTGCAGCTGATTTCTCCCTTATATTCTACTACTAAGGTTAAGTAAATCAGGCTTATACCTAATATATATGTACCTATTTACTAGAAGATCTTATGGTTTATTTACGGGTTTCTTTGTATATATTGATTATGAAGGGGACCCCTTGGCACGCTTCTGGATTTTATGGCTGCCGTTCAGTCGTTTTATTGCCGATAAATTATGATACAAACAATGCTTAGGAAAGGAAAAGATGCCTTTCAAGCTGAAGTTTATTTACACAGCTTTAAATCTAATGATCCCTATTTGTGACTTTCTGATTTCCTGGCTTATTAATACAAATATATCGCCATATGTCTCATTTCAGAGTTAGGTTAAATAATGTCTGTAAAACTAAAGCTTTGTTTTTTGTTTTGTTTAGTGTTAAAAGCAGCCTGCAGGTGAGAAACCTTTTCTATTCATTGTGTTATCAAATCTGAAAACGGATCATAACAGTCTTAGACATCATGTACATGTACAATTGAAGTTAGATTAGCTTTCAGACACTTGACCTAAAGCTGTAACTGCCGACATGCCGATACTATGACGCAATGAGGAAGAAGTGTTTTAGTAAGAGTAAATCAATATTTGACGACACTCCACAGATAGCCAATGACCTCGAACCTTCCAACTTCCTTGTTACCAATGGCGCACGTGTTTTATTTATAGACGCACATTGATAAATTAGTCTGAATAGGACTGAAGCTGTTCAAACTGCCAATGTGGGCTTTACACTTAAACTCCAACAACTCAATCACTGGTTTCTAGCAGATGTTGAAGCGATCTTGATGTGTAAAATTAGGAAGTAATATCGATATTCCAGACGTTTTGGGGGTTTTGATCAAAACTTGGTAAAAATCCCAACATTATTAACGGTACATGTAGAAAGAGAGAAAAGCTTTTGAACTCCGAACATGGACCGACCCTTACACTCTCGCTATGACAATCACATTTCTGGAGCGTGACAAGTTGCGTAAAAAAATAAATAAATCAATAATGGAGTTATAAATGCTTTTAAGAAATATTTCAGTTTTAACTACGTATTTAAATAACATATAGAAAATAAGAATATCTAAAAGAAGTAGCAAAATTGTTAAGTTTTGTACAGAGAATTAAAAAAGAATGTTGCCAAAAAATACAGCAAATGGATTGGACACAAGTTATAAAACAAATATAAAGGCAAATACACAAGCAGACTCACAAACCCATATTCATGTATTGTTTTAAGGTTGTTCTCCTAGTTCATAAAGGTAAAAGCCTACTACTTTTTCTAATTAGAATATGTTCCTGGTTTTGATGAAAATATGTACATTTCAACATATTGCTAAGTAGAGTCCACGGGTAAATGTTGGTTACCACACAGGAGGTTAATCAAGGTTATTGCCAATGTCAATAGCCAGTGTGTTTATACTTTGAAATAGTGTGAGCCTCTTTTGAGTAAAGTTAGTACAGTTGGAAAGGGGCCGCGGTGTCCAAGTCTGCCATTCTGCTACCACTAGCCTCCACCACTGGGTCGCGGGTTCGAGACCTACGTGGGGCAGTCGCCAGGTACCGGTCATAGATCGGTGTTTTTTCTATGGGAACTCCAGCTTTCCTCCACCACCAAAACCTGTCAGGTCCTTAGATGACCATCGCTGGTAATAGAAAACAAACAAACAAACAAACAAACAAGGGTACAGTTAAAAAGAAGGGATACACATACTAACAGGGTTGACCACAGTTACACTCAGGACCTTCAACAAGGACAACCCGAAATAAATTATACATTAAATAGCTATATTTATGCCTCAGTGTGGTGTGAACACTATTAAGTTTTCTGTCTCCGAAATTGAAAGACACAAATGGGGAGTTTGTACTGGAAAGTCAAATCGGTTTCGTTATAAATATGGAGTATGGTTACCAATCGTATACTATTGAGAAATTCTGGAGTCATATGATTTTTTAAAATTTTATATAGAAGATTTGGTTTCCGTCGCTTCTTCTGTAAGAAAATCGTTCTAGTACACCATAAAAACATGTATTGGTTGCGAAAGATGGTAATAAAGCGTGTATACGGGCGGCTTCGCGCTGCGCTTTCTCTAGTAAGTTGGATTCATACACAATACAGCCGTCCCATACTTCACATGCGTATTAGAGACCGGGTACTATAAAACATTTCCATATTTTAAATATATTTCACGTATATTTTAGTTTACGAATCATTGACTTTTTTTCACAACTGATTTACTATACCTTTCCGTTTACTTTATAAACGTCTGGAATACTCTTATGGAGTGACTGATACCGCACTATGCTGGATACAGTCATACCTGAGTGAACGACGGTGTGTTGCCATTGTATCTGCCACCTCACATGACAAAGTACTAGATTTCGGGGTTCCTCAAGGGTCGGTGTTAGGACCACGAAAATATTGTATGTACTCCAAACCGATTGGAGAGATTTGTCGTAGCCATAGCCTTCGCTATCATTGCTATGCCGATGACACACAAATTTACATGTTCATAAAACCACAGGACCGTTGGAATACAGTCTCAGAAAGTCTGGAAGCTTGTCTGACAGATATCAGTATCTGGATGAACGCCAACATGCTTAAACTTAATCAGGAAAAGACGGAACTGATCGTCTTTTCCCCAAAGTGTCAGCAAACAATGGCTCTCCAGCTCAAGGTCGGGGCCAGAACTATTGAGACTGTTCCAGCTGTTAAAAACCTAGGGGTATAATTTGACAGTTCTCTGAACATGGAGAAACAAGTGAACGCTATTGCCAAATCCTGTTACTACCAGATCAGGAACATCGGCTGTATTCGGCAGTTTCTAACTGCATATGAATGCACGATTTTGGTGCATTCACTTGTTACCTCTCGGTTGGATTGTGGTAACGCCCTGCTCTGTGGTATATCTGACAAACTAACTAGTCGTCTGCAGAGGGTCCAGAATACTGCAGCACGGCTAGTTACTCGTACTCGAAAGAGAGAGCACATCACACCTGCGCTTTATTCGTTGCACTGGTTACTTGTACGATACAGGTCGCACTACAAAATTCTGGTATACACATACAAGGCACTGAATGGAACAGCTCTTCAGTACCTACAGGAGCTTGTTACCCTGTATCAGCCGTCAAGATCACTGCGGTCGGAGTGAGAATCTGTGTTGTGTGTCCCAAAATCTCGTACTGTGACCTACGGAAAAAGATGCTTTGGGAGGGTTTCGGCTACGTTGTGGAATAGCTTACCATCTGCTATTAGGAAGTCAAATACCCTGGCTAAGTTCAAGAGGGACCTCTTCACGTCTGCATTTTAGAATCTTTGCAAAGGCGTCATGTAAATACCACCCTTTTATTTGTTCAATTATGTGCACATTGCTTGTTAAATGTATGAAAGTGATTGCAAGCCTTTGTTGTTTGTTTTCACAATTATAACCGTTACTATTATCCATATGTTGTAACGCGCCTTAGAGTAACTTTACAAATTATATAGGGCGCTATATAAATGGTGTATATGATTATTATTATTATTTACCTTAAAGCTAAACCTCATTCACAAGGGTCTATGACATTCGCTTAAGTTGAGAAATTCATTATTAAATAGTTTTTTCCAAATTTTCTTCCAATTATCAACGTTTGAAAAATACAACATGTTTTGCTCGGATTGAAATCTACCAGCCACTTGTTGGTTCATTTACTTAGTGATCGTAGTTCAGAACAGTCCCTCTTTACATGATGAGCTAGTTGTTAGTGATGTGTCGTCTACACAGACGAAAAGTGGAGTAGAAAATGAACTTTTCTTTCTGTTGTTTTTAAGGGATGTACTTATTTAGCCAACTTTATTATCCTCCAGTTATACCCTATGCATTTTAGAGTCCTTTATGCCAAAATCGATTAAATGCTTTGAAAGATCTCAAAATACTAAGCACGCGTGTTTTGTTTCTGCAAAAGGTATATAGGTACTATGATCAATTTTCATAAGTTGATAAACAGTACAATGTTTTTGGTATAAAACCGGACTAAAATTTGCATAAGAAGAATATGTGTTGGATTCATCTTTAATAATTTCTGTCAATTAACAAATAGAAGATGATGTGTTATTTTCATCCGGATAACATTTGTTGGTTCTGCCTTTGTATTTTGTTCATTGAGCTGGGCCGGCGGTGTTCCGGGTGACGCTATGTAAAACAGAAGGTCCTATTATCTTCCGTAGTGTTACACACGTGGTTGAAGCTACCACACTTGTTAAAGTAAAATCACGTGTAGATAGGGTAACACAGGAGATTGTACTTAATCAGAATCTGTAAAGCTACGTTGTAAGTGTTACAGGAAGCACATTTGAGTATGGTGGCCAAGACCTGAATAATGTATCTATATACGTTGACTTTATCAAAATCAATAAGCTCCACACCATCACCGTCTGCTTTTTTCAATGACTGTGAATTATTGGCATTTATTGACATTTACTTTTTATATTCGTTTGTGCCTGGAACTCGTTTTCGGAGAAAACGATGCATTCATAATTCCACGAATCCATTCCAGGATGTTTAATTTCTTATCAGTTGGCTGCCATTGGTCAGCTGGCCGGGTATGCACTTTCTATCACATATACACACTTACACCAGTACTTGTCATAGACTCGTAAGTTAAAGCCGGATAGGAACACTCGTCAGCTTAACCAGTCACGTACGGTGCCGTATACAGGTAAGTTATCCGATGTTTCAGACCAAACACATATTCATAATCATATCCTCAAAAACAGGGAAGGCATGATTGCTTTTAGTCTAGAGACAGAATCATTCACACTCTCTGTACTTGTATGGCTATTCACAATGCTTATCACAACTAGGTATAGTCAGGTCTTTTTTATTTGTATGCCACTCACGATCGTTCATAACCGTATCTGTTTACCCTACGATACACTTCAGGGCATGTAGATTATGTCTGCGTGCAAATAGTGTGTTCTTTCGAACACAATTTTATAACACGGTTACCATATACTTATCGAAAGATGCGAAACATGTACTTAATGTAACGCGGTAAACATGTAATTAACGTCACACGATAAACATGTACTTTAGGTTACACGGTAATCATGTATTTTAGGTTACACGGTAAACAGGTACTTAACGTTACACGGCAAACATGTACTTAACGTAACACGATAAACATGTACTTAACGTCAAACGGTAAACATGTATTTTAGGTTACACGGTAAACATGTACTTAACGTAACACGGTACACATGTACTTAACGTCACACGGTAAACATGTGCTTTAGGTTACACGGTAACCGTGTATTTAACGTAACACGGTAAACATGTGCTTTAGGTTACACGGTAAACATGTACTTTACGTCACACGGTTAACATGTACTTAACGTCTCAGGGTAAACATGTACTTAACGTAACACGATAAACATGTACTTAACGTCACACGGTAAACATGTACTTTAGGTTACACGGTAAACATGTACTTTAGGTTACACGGTAAACATGTACTTTACATAATACGGTGGACATGTACTTAACGTGACACGGTAAACATGTACTTTACGTCACACGGCAAACATGTACTTTACATCACACGTTAAACATGAACTCTAGGTTGCACGGTTAACAGGTACTTTACGTCACACGGTAAACATGCGCTTTACGTAACACGGTAAACATGTACTTTAGGTTACACGGTAAACATGTACTTTAGGTTACACGTTAAGCATGTATTTTAGGTTACATGGTAAACATGTACTTAACGTAACACGGTAAACATGTACTTTACGTCACACGGTAAACATGTACTTTACGTCACACGGTTAACATGTACTTTAGGTTACCCGTAAACATGTACTTTAGGTTACACGTTAAACATGTATTTTAGGTTACATGGTAAACATGTACTTTACGTCACACGGTAAACATGTACTTTAAGTCACACGGTAAACATGAACTTTAGGTTACCCGTAAACATGTACTTTAGGTTACACGTTAAACGTGTATTTTAGGTTACATGGTAAACATGTACTTAACGTTATACGGTAAACTTGTACTTTAGGTTACACGTGAAACATGTACTTAACGTAACACGGTAAACATTTACTTTACTTAACACGGTAAACATGTACTTTGCGTAACACGGTAAAAATGTACTTTACATCACACAGTTAACTTGTACTTTACGCCAAACGGTAAAAAACTTAACATGTGCTTTGTGTAACACGGTAAACATGCACTTTTCATCACACGGTTAACATGTACTTAACGTAACACGGTAAACATGTTCTTAACGTAACACGGTAAACATGTACTTAACGTAACACGGTAAACATGTACTTTACTTAACACGGTAATCATTTGAGTATGGTGGCCAAGACCTGAAAAAATGTATCTATAAGCTACACACAATCACCGTTGGCTTTTTTCAATGACTGTGAATTATCGCCATTTATTGACATTAACTTTCTGTATTCGTTTGTGCCTGGAACTCGTTTTCGGAGAAAACGATGCATTCATAATTCCACGAATCCATTCCAGGATGTTTAATTTCTGATCAGTTGGCTGCCATTGGTCAGCTGGCCGGGTATGCACTTTCTATCACATATAAACACTTAAACCAGTACTTGTCATAGACTCGTAAGTTATAGCCGGATAAGGACACTCAACATCTAAACCAGTCACGTACGGTACCGTATACAGGTAAGGTATCCGATATTTCAGACCAAACACATATACATAATCACATCCTCAAAAACAGGGAAGACATTTAACATATTTTGCGTATCACATTATTGCTTTTAGTCTAGAGACAAAATCTTCCACACTCTCTGTTCTTGTACGGCTATTCACAATGCTCATCACAACTTCACGGTAAACATGTACTTTACGTTACATAGTAAAAATGTACTTTACATCACACAGTTAACATATACTTAACGTCACACGGTAAACATTTACTTTAGGTTACACGGTAAACATGTACTTTAGGTTACACGGTAAACAGGTACTTTACGTTACATAGTAAAAATGTACTTTACATCACACAGTTAACATATACTTAACGTCACACGGTAAACATTTACTTCAGGTTACACGGTTAACATGTACATAACGTCACACGGTAAACATTTACTTTACGTAACACGGTAAATATGTACTTAACGTCACACGGTAAACATGTACTTAACATAACAAGGTAAACATGTACTTAACGCGCAACGGTCAACATGTACTTAACATAACACGGTAAGCATGTACTTTAGGTTACACGGTAAACACGTACTTAACGTTACACGGTAAAAATGTACTTTACATCACACAGTTAACATATATTTAACGCCAAACGGTAAACATGTACTTTTCGCCAAACGGTAAAAAACTTAACATGTGCTTTGTGTAACATGGTAAACATGCACATTACATCACACGGTTAACATGTACTTTACGTAACACGGTAAACATGTACTTAAGGTTACACGGTAAATATGTTCTCAACGTAACACGTTAAACATGTACTTTACGTCACACGGTTAACGTGTACTTTTGGTGACACGGCAAACATGTACTTTATGATCACGGTAAACATGTACTTTAGGTTACACGGTACACATGTACTTTAGGTTGCAGGGGTAACATGTATTTCAGGTTACATGGTAAACATGTACCTTACGTAACACGGTAAACATGTACTTAACGTAACACGGTAAAAATGTACTTTACGTTAAACGGTAAACATGTACTTTAGGTTACACGGTAAACAAGTACTTTACGAACATGGTAAACATGTACTTTAGGTTACACGGTAAACATGTACTTTAAATTACACGTTAAACATGTACCTTACGTAACACGGTAAACATGAACTTAACGTAATCGGTAAACATGTACTTTACGTTACACGGTAAACATGTACTTAACATTACACGTTAAACATGTACATTACGTAACACGATAAACATGTGCTTTAGGTTACACGGTAAACATGTACTTAACGTAACATGGTAAACATGTACTTTACGTTACACGGTAAACATGTACTGAACGTAACACGGTAAACATGTACTTTAAATTACACGTTAAACATGTACTTTACGTAACACGGTAAACATGAACTTAACGTAATCGGTAAACATGTACTTAACGTAACACGGTAAACATGTACTTAACGTATCACGTTAAACATGTACTTAACGTAACACGGTAAACATGTACTTTACGTTAGACGGTAGACATGTACTTAACGTAACATGGTAAACATGTACTTTACGTTACACGGTAAACATGTACTTATCGTAACACGTTAAACATGTACTTAACGTATCACGTTAAACATGTACTTAACGTAACACGGTAAACATGTACTTAACGAAACACGTTAAACATGTACTTTACGTAACACGGTTAACATTTACTTTACGTAACACGTTTTACAGGTACTTGTTTAACATTGTAAACATGTACTTAACGAAACACGTTAAACATGTACTTTACGTAACACGTTTTACAGGTACTTGTTTAACATGCACATTATATCTGTCATTTGTGTTAAAGTTAAAGTTATATGTTACCTGACGATTGATACCTGTGACATGTGGTTTAAGGGTATACACTACCTTACAAACAGTACCTATAATGTGGTATGTTAGTCAATACTATTATTTAACCAGTCAACCATTCAATACAGCGATCCTTTTGCGTCTTTTCCGTCTTTGCGTATTGCAGAGTTATCTGCTCTTGAAAGCAGGTATTGATTGTTACGTCATTTGTTTGTGAAAGTAACGTAATCAATTTTTGAGAAAACGACGTAATTTTTCTCACACAAACCAATGACGTAACAATCAATACCTGCTCACAAGAGAAGATAACTCTGCAATACGCAAAGACGGAATACTTCAACGTGATATTCTAAACAGTTTATTTTTGCATTTTTATGTGTTATTGGCGACAACTCAGATGTTATTTATACCTTTTCACTGTGTAAAATGAATAAAATATTATAGAAATCTCCATATCTCAACCCTGATCAACCTTCAATCTGACTGTAATTGAAAGTTGTTGGTTTAACTTTGTTTAACATTGTTGGTTGATGGTGTGATGCTTTTTATCTGATTAACCTTCGACCAATATCAAAATCGGGCCCCTCCTGTCCTTCACGCTATTAGCTCTTGGGCCGGGAGGAGTTTATTTCAGACGAATATTGAGAAGGTTCTTTCTGACAATTAGTGGTTGATTCGACTGGGAAAAATAAAGAAGATATTTTGACGATTTTCTCGAAAAAAAACAAGTTTTGTTTGAGTTATATAGACAAAGACCAGCTGTAACCTGTGTAACTAGTTATCACAGGAGTGTCTAGTCCGATCAGACTCTTAATTGGTGTTTTTTTTATGACACAGGCTCCGCCCTATAAGAGAAAGTTATTTCGGAAAAATGATGAACGCTATTCGTGGATCCAGATTCTGATTTAGGCTTTTAAATAAAGCAAATGAGAGGAATGTGTTTTTTTTCTTTGGAAAAATCGACAGGCTTGCGGGCGATGGCAGTTTTAGCCCTTAAAACACACATTAAATCCGCAAATACAATGCTATCTATACAGGCTAAAAGTGCATACTGTCAAATACAATGCTAACTATACAGGCTAAAAGTGCATACTGACACATACAATGCTATCTATACAGGCTAAAAGAGCATACTGTCAAATACAATGCTATCTATACAGGCTAAAAGTCCATACTGTCAAATACAATGCTATCTATACAGGCTAAAAGTGCATACTGTCAAATGCAATGCTATCTATACAGACTTAAAGTGCATACTGTCAAATACAGTGCTATCTATACAGGCTAAAAGTGCATACTGTCTTTGGCTTTTGGACTAAATGTTCATTACATAAACATTTTCACATCTTTTTCAGATTGTAGGTGCCATGGCTTCAAATCAAATTTCATTTGCCTCAGAAAACAAAAAGGGGAATTGTCCCGGCTTATGTTTCGGGGAAGATTCCAAGTCCAAACAAGGATTGATTGTCCTTCAAGAATGGTGGGGCATAAACGACCAGATCAAGGAAGAGGCTGCAACGATCGAAAAAAAAGGAAAATTTGTGGTACTTGTTCCCGATCTTTACCGGGGAAATGTTACCACGGACAACGAGGAGGCAGGCCACCTTATGGGCAACCTAGACTGGGACGGAGCTGTGAAGGACATTCAGGGAGCGGCAAGGAAGCTGAAAGAGATGGGCTGTACTAAGGTGGGTACAGCATTGATTCTCCTTAGTCTATTGGGCCAGGACCATGCAGTTGTTACAGTGGTTTAACTCATTCACCCCTGAAATTTTATAATGAACTATTCCAACCTTCAAATGTGTCTTCAGGGGTGGATGAGTTAAGGAGAGAGGTGGCGCAGTGGATAGCGTGTTTGCCTTTCGCGTATGCAACTGATGGTTGATTCCCCGATCGAATATAAAAACATGTTGGTAACCTGCCATGGATTTTCTCTCATTGAAAGTTTAAGAACTCCCTGCGTGCTTCAGGGCCAATGAAATTGAATGTAATTTAATAGAAAATGGTATAACGTTTCTCTGGTGGTCGTAAATAAATGATATTTACAGTGTGTTTAGACAACACAGAGAATAATACACGTGGGCTCTCTCTGTCTGTCTGTCTGTCTGTCTGTCTTGTCTGTCTGTCTGTCTGTCTGTCTGTCTCTTGTTAATAATCATAACCTTGTACTCCAAAATATATTATCATAACACAAAAAAGAATGCCAGAATACATATTTTAAAAGAATATCTATTAATGCTTGTTCATTGATCATTTTGCAATGCATCGAAGATATCAGGACTTTCATGTCAAATTAAGCTGTTGAAGAATATTTTGAAAAATATCCGGCTTTGAAGATCTATGTAACATAGCCTGTCGTATTTAGCCGGTTTGTTTTACATACTCCTTATTGGAATGTTAAACAACTCCATATAAAACACTTGTATATCAATCATCTTTTCGACGTTTACAGATTGGAGTGACAGGATTTTGTATGGGCGGGGCATTGTCATTAGCTGCAGCCGTTCGTGTACCGGAAATCGATGCAGCGGCGCCATTTTATGGTATCCCTGATGCCAAACTTGCGGACGTATCAAAAATTCGCATCCCGCTCCAGTGTCATTTTGGCAAAAATGACAATGTAGAAGGGTTCTCCTGCCCTAAGTCGCAAGCCACGCTGAGGAAGAAGTTGGATACGGCTGGCGTTAAATACGAGTTCCATTCCTACGACGCTGGACACGCATTCACCAACCAGAAAGGGCCAAATTATGTCGAAGAGTGCTGTACTGTCGCTTTAGACAGGATGGTAAAATTCATGAACAAAAATCTGTCATAAAAAACTGATCGGACGATAAAAGGTGTGGGGTCACCTGCCCGAACACGTGGGTTTTCTCCGGGTACTCATGTTTCCTCCAACATATAGACCCTCCGCGCGATAACATCCGGGCCAACAAGAGTGATTAATATGAGTTGAAATAACGTGTTTCATAATTGTTGTAAAATAAATAAAGTTTACATATCAATATATAAAAATGACATCGTTTTCAGTTATCAAAATCAGTTTTGCTTGGGAATATATATATATACACAGAAACAGTTGGACCATTACGTTGTATTAAACAAAGGTATACATAAACAGTTAGACCATTACGTTGTGTTATACCCAGGTACACAGAAACAGCTAGACCATTACGTTGTGTTATACCCAGGTATACAGAACCAGTTAGACCATTACGTTGTGTTATACCCAGGTACACAGAAACAGCTAGACCATTACGTTGTGTTATACCCAGGTATACAGAACCAGTTAGACCATTACGTTGTGTTATACCCAGGTATACAGAACCAGTTAGACCATTACGTTGTGTTATACCCAGGTACACAGAAACAGTCAGACCATTACGTTGTGTTATACCCAGGTATACAGAACCAGTTAGACCATTACGTTGTGTTATACCCAGGTACACAGAAACAGTTAGACCATTACGTTGTGGTATACCCAGGTATACAGAAACAGTTAGACCATTACTGTGTATTATACCCAGGTATACAGAAACAGTTGGACCATTACGTTGTATTATACCCAGGTATACAGAATCAGTTGTACCGTTACGTTGTATTATACCCAGGTATACAGAAACAGTTAGACCATTACTGTGTATTATACCCAGGTATACAGAATCAGTTGTACCGTTACGTTGTATTATACCCAGGTATACAGAAACAGTTGGACAATTACGTTGTATTATACCCAGGTATACAGAATCAGTTGTACCGTTACGTTGTATTATACCCAGGTATACAGAAACAGTTAGACCATTACGTTGTATTATACCCAGGCAAACAGAAACAGTTAGACCATTACGTTGTGTTATACCCAGGTACACAGAAACAGTTAGACCATTACGTTGTGTTATACCCAGGTACACAGAAACAGTTAGACCATTACGTTGTATTATACCCAGTTATACAGAAACAGTTAGACCATCACGTTGTATTATACCTAGGTACACAGAAACAATTAGACCATTACTTTGTATTATACCCAGGTATACAGAAACAGTTGGACCATTACGTTGTGTTATACCTAGGTATACAGAAACAGTTAGACCATTACGTTGTATTATACCCAGTTATACAGAAACAGTTAGACCATCACGTTGTATTATACCTAGGTACACAGAAACAGTTAGACCATTACTTTGTATTATACCCAGGTATACAGAAACAGTTGGACCATTACTGTGTATTATACCCAGGTATACAGAATCAGTTGTACCATTACGTTGTATTATACCCAGCTATGCAGAAACAGTTAGACCATTACGTTGTATTATACCCAGGTAAACAGAAACAGTTAGACCATTACTGTGTATTATACCCAGGTATACAGAAACAGTTAGACCATTACTGTGTATTATACCAAGGTAAACAGAAACAGTTAGACCATTACGTTGTATTATACCAAGGTATACAGAAACAGTTGGACCATTACGTTGTATTATACCTAGGTATACAGAAACAGTTAGACCATTACGTTGTATTATACCTAGGTATACAGAAACAGTTAGACCATTACGTTGTATTATACCCAGGTATACAGAAACAGTTAGACCATTACGTTGTATTATACCCAGGTATACAGAAACAGTTAGACCATTACGTTGTATTATACCCAGGTATACAGAAACAGTTAGACCATTACGTTGTATTATACCCAGGTATACAGAAACAGTTAGACCATTACGTTGTATTATACCCAGGTATACAGAAACAGTTAGACCATTACGTTGTATTATACCCAGGTATACAGAAACAGTTAGACCATTACGTTGTATTATACCCAGGTATACAGAAACAGTTAGACCATTACGTTGTATTATACCCAGGTATACAGAAACAGTTAGACCATTACGTTGTATTATACCCAGGTATACAGAAACAGTTAGACCATTACGTTGTATTATACCCAGGTATACAGAAACAGTTAGACCATTACGTTGTATTATACCCAGGTATACAGAAACAGTTAGACCATTACGTTGTATTATACCCAGGTATACAGAAACAGTTAGACCATTACGTTGTATTATACCCAGGTATACAGAAACAGTTAGACCATTACGTTGTATTATACCCAGGTATACAGAAACAGTTAGACCATTACGTTGTATTATACCCAGGTATACAGAAACAGTTAGACCATTACGTTGTATTATACCCAGGTATACAGAAACAGTTAGACCATTACGTTGTATTATACCCAGGTATACAGAAACAGTTAGACCATTACGTTGTATTATACCCAGGTATACAGAAACAGTTAGACCATTACGTTGTATTATACCCAGGTATACAGAAACAGTTAGACCATTACGTTGTATTATACCCAGGTATACAGAAACAGTTAGACCATTACGTTGTATTATACCCAGGTATACAGAAACAGTTAGACCATTACGTTGTATTATACCCAGGTATACAGAAACAGTTAGACCATTACGTTGTATTATACCCAGGTATACAGAAACAGTTAGACCATTACGTTGTATTATACCCAGGTATACAGAAACAGTTAGACCATTACGTTGTATTATACCCAGGTATACAGAAACAGTTAGACCATTACGTTGTATTATACCCAGGTATACAGAAACAGTTAGACCATTACGTTGTATTATACCCAGGTATACAGAAACAGTTAGACCATTACGTTGTATTATACCCAGGTATACAGAAACAGTTAGACCATTACGTTGTATTATACCCAGGTATACAGAAACAGTTAGACCATTACGTTGTATTATACCCAGGTATACAGAAACAGTTAGACCATTACGTTGTATTATACCCAGGTATACAGAAACAGTTAGACCATTACGTTGTATTATACCCAGGTATACAGAAACAGTTAGACCATTACGTTGTATTATACCCAGGTATACAGAAACAGTTAGACCATTACGTTGTATTATACCCAGGTATACAGAAACAGTTAGACCATTACGTTGTATTATACCCAGGTATACAGAAACAGTTAGACCATTACGTTGTATTATACCCAGGTATACAGAAACAGTTAGACCATTACGTTGTATTATACCCAGGTATACAGAAACAGTTAGACCATTACGTTGTATTATACCCAGGTATACAGAAACAGTTAGACCATTACGTTGTATTATACCCAGGTATACAGAAACAGTTAGACCATTACGTTGTATTATACCCAGGTATACAGAAACAGTTAGACCATTACGTTGTATTATACCCAGGTATACAGAAACAGTTAGACCATTACGTTGTATTATACCCAGGTATACAGAAACAGTTAGACCATTACGTTGTATTATACCCAGGTATACAGAAACAGTTAGACCATTACGTTGTATTATACCCAGGTATACAGAAACAGTTAGACCATTACGTTGTATTATACCCAGGTATACAGAAACAGTTAGACCATTACGTTGTATTATACCCAGGTATACAGAAACAGTTAGACCATTACGTTGTATTATACCCAGGTATACAGAAACAGTTAGACCATTACGTTGTATTATACCCAGGTATACAGAAACAGTTAGACCATTACGTTGTATTATACCCAGGTATACAGAAACAGTTAGACCATTACGTTGTATTATACCCAGGTATACAGAAACAGTTAGACCATTACGTTGTATTATACCCAGGTATACAGAAACAGTTAGACCATTACGTTGTATTATACCCAGGTATACAGAAACAGTTAGACCATTACGTTGTATTATACCCAGGTATACAGAAACAGTTAGACCATTACGTTGTATTATACCCAGGTATACAGAAACAGTTAGACCATTACGTTGTATTATACCCAGGTATACAGAAACAGTTAGACCATTACGTTGTATTATACCCAGGTATACAGAAACAGTTAGACCATTACGTTGTATTATACCCAGGTATACAGAAACAGTTAGACCATTACGTTGTATTATACCCAGGTATACAGAAACAGTTAGACCATTACGTTGTATTATACCCAGGTATACAGAAACAGTTAGACCATTACGTTGTATTATACCCAGGTATACAGAAACAGTTAGACCATTACGTTGTATTATACCCAGGTATACAGAAACAGTTAGACCATTACGTTGTATTATACCCAGGTATACAGAAACAGTTAGACCATTACGTTGTATTATACCCAGGTATACAGAAACAGTTAGACCATTACGTTGTATTATACCCAGGTATACAGAAACAGTTAGACCATTACGTTGTATTATACCCAGGTATACAGAAACAGTTAGACCATTACGTTGTATTATACCCAGGTATACAGAAACAGTTAGACCATTACGTTGTATTATACCCAGGTATACAGAAACAGTTAGACCATTACGTTGTATTATACCCAGGTATACAGAAACAGTTAGACCATTACGTTGTATTATACCCAGGTATACAGAAACAGTTAGACCATTACGTTGTATTATACCCAGGTATACAGAAACAGTTAGACCATTACGTTGTATTATACCCAGGTATACAGAAACAGTTAGACCATTACGTTGTATTATACCCAGGTATACAGAAACAGTTAGACCATTACGTTGTATTATACCCAGGTATACAGAAACAGTTAGACCATTACGTTGTATTATACCCAGGTATACAGAAACAGTTAGACCATTACGTTGTATTATACCCAGGTATACAGAAACAGTTAGACCATTACGTTGTATTATACCCAGGTATACAGAAACAGTTAGACCATTACGTTGTATTATACCCAGGTATACAGAAACAGTTAGACCATTACGTTGTATTATACCCAGGTATACAGAAACAGTTAGACCATTACGTTGTATTATACCCAGGTATACAGAAACAGTTAGACCATTACGTTGTATTATACCCAGGTATACAGAAACAGTTAGACCATTACGTTGTATTATACCCAGGTATACAGAAACAGTTAGACCATTACGTTGTATTATACCCAGGTATACAGAAACAGTTAGACCATTACGTTGTATTATACCCAGGTATACAGAAACAGTTAGACCATTACGTTGTATTATACCCAGGTATACAGAAACAGTTAGACCATTACGTTGTATTATACCCAGGTATACAGAAACAGTTAGACCATTACGTTGTATTATACCCAGGTATACAGAAACAGTTAGACCATTACGTTGTATTATACCCAGGTATACAGAAACAGTTAGACCATTACGTTGTATTATACCCAGGTATACAGAAACAGTTAGACCATTACGTTGTATTATACCCAGGTATACAGAAACAGTTAGACCATTACGTTGTATTATACCCAGGTATACAGAAACAGTTGTACCATTACGTTGTATTATACCCAGGTATACAGAAACAGTTAGACCATTACGTTGTATTATACCCAGATATACAGAAACAGTTGGACTATTACGTTGTATTATACCTAGGTATACAGAAACAGTTGTACCATTACGTTGTATTATACCCAGATATACAGAAACAGTTGTACCATTACGTCGTATTATACCCAGGTATACAGAAACAGGTAGACCATTACGTTGTATTATACCCAGGTAAACAGAATCAGGTGGACCATTACGTTGTATTATTCCCAGGTATACAGAAACAGTTAGACCATTCCGTTGTATTATACCCAGGTATACAGAAACAGTTAGACCATTACGTTGTATCATACCCAGGTATACAGAATCAGGTGGACTATTACGTTGTATTATACCCAGGTACACAGAAACAGTTGTACCATTACGTTGTATTATACCCAGGTAAACAGAAACAGTTGTACCATTGCGTTGGATTATACCCAGGTATACAGAAACAGTTAGAGCATTACGTTGTATTATACCCAGATATACAGAAACAGTTGGACTATTCCGTTGTATTATACCTAGGTATACAGAAACAGTTGAACCATTACGTTGTATTATACCCAGGTAAACAGAAACAGTTGTACCATTGCGTTGTATTATACCCAGGTATACAGAAGCAGGTGGACCATTACGTTGTATTATACCCAGGTTTACAGAAACAGTTGTACCATTACGTTGTATTATACCCAGGTTTACAGAAACAGTTAGATCATTACGTTGTATTATACCCAGGTATACAGATACAGTTAGACCATTACGTTGTATTATACCCAGATATACAGAAACAGTTGTACCATTACGTCGTATTATACCCAGGTATACAGAAACAGGTAGACCATTACGTTGTATTATACCCAGGTTTACAGAAACAGTTAGACCATTACGTTGAATTATACCCAGGTATACAGAAACAGTTAGCCCATTACGTTGTATTATACCCAGGTATACAGAATCAGGTGGACCATTATTTTGTTTTATACCCAGGTATATATGATCAGTTGGACCATTACGTTGTATTATACCCAGGTATACAGAAACAGTTGGACTATTACGTTGTATTATACCCAGCTATACAGAATCAGATTGAGCATTACGTTCTAATATACCAAGGTATGCAGAAACAGTACTTTCGGCAAATTAAGTTAACCCGCATTAGGAACAGCATTTTAAGTCCAGTCGACCATGTCAGACCAGATGTGCAATTACTATCATTTAGTTTGGTATAGTTTGTATGAACATTACATGACCAGGATATGGCGCTGAGTAATTTTGGAAACATTGTGAAATAAAAAAGTTCATTACATTTTAGTTTAATGCTTTCGTGTTTAGATGAAATAAAAACGGCTTCTCTTTGTAAGTAGATGTAGTTGACACTGTATATGTTTATTGAGATTTGGTTGTCGGTGTCTATTTCTCGGTGACATCGTGAGAGTTCCTACACAGTAATAGAAGCTTGTAAACACAGTAGAGTTTTAGTTTTAAATATTGTTTTAGATTGAGAAAGTGTTGCATATCAAACAAAAAAATAAAAATGAAATAAATTGTGTCTGCACTTTTTCGACTTGCAAGTTCCTTGTAATCAGTTTATTGTAGCACATAGTTATATATACACATAGTTATATTATAAAAAGAAAAGTTCTCAACAACGAGTCTTTAGTACTTTCATTTCTTCTAGGAGATTATTCAGACAATCTCCCGACAGATTTCTGAGCCATTTGTTCGGTCTTTCCCCTCGTTCAGTTCCTATTAATAGACTGGATATGGATTGTTACTGATATTCCCTAGGCGTATTTTTTTCCCTTTGAGGGCTTATCTCTCCCGTCGACTTACGGGTTACGTTTGTATGTTTTGTATTGTTTAACGGTCCGTCGACAAATAGATGTTTGCAAAAGAATACATTAAACTAAAAGTTTATAGGTTAAAAGGTATAACAGATGCAAAAAATAAAAAGCAAATGATTAAATAAGTAAACTGCAAGTCGAGGTCTGACCCGCGCGTTACCACGATTAACAGCCGAGCTACCTACCTATTAGATAACTATTATAAAAATATGGTTTTATGTCAATATATTACAATAATGATGTCGAAATAATCTGAGAAAATATCGACAACTCGTAAGTTGTATGTCGACGGCGGAAATATGCCTCCATACTTTTCTGTTATCAATCAACTTCCGCTTCCTCCTACAAGATGTTGTTTCTGTCTCACATCAGTTACTGTATAGTAGTATTTAGGGAGGAAGGTTTGGGTTCATAAATAGCACACGTTTCCACAACCATATAAATGATAATAACTATATATTCTCTCTGCCTTCCAGTCTCAACTAAAGAATGACGTCGTCTGCAATGCCATCCTTTCCATCAACCGAAATATAATGCGATTCAGCATTTTAACTACAAGCCCAATATATCCTTCTTTCTTTCACAAAAGATCCTCATCCGACTCCTCCTGTCCACTAAGGCACTCTCTCTCCTTCAACTTGTTAATGGAAATCCACGCATGCCTCGCTATCAATCCACTGAAACAAAGTTTCCTTAATTCTATGGTAAACTTCACGCATTTTTTTTATTACAATGAATGGACTTGATTGTCAAATGGACCTTTTAGTTTGTTATTTACCAGAGTTGCAATGTGAATCAATGTTGAGCACTTTAACGGCCTCTCTGTGAAAGCCCTACAGAGTGCCGCAAAAGCATGTTCGTACTCCCCGAGCTGTCTGTGACAGAACGCCAGTAGGTTCAAGGCCACTGCCTTCTCTGATATATTGATCAGACCACAGCACCACACCATGTCGTCACGGGCCATCAGCTTCGCGATGTTTTGGTCCATCTTCATGCTGCACCAGAACTTCAAGAAACACACGTATACGAGTGGATCTACAAGGACGGTGGGTTTCCTCCCGGGCAATGTGTCAACGTCCGGTTTACCAATCGGAATCGGATTGAGTTCGGTCTGTAGTGGAGTTGGAAGGGTGTCATCTTCCATTTGCAGAAATATCAAATCAGAGATGCACGACATTTTATCATCTGTGACAGCGAGGAATACATTTGTCGTGGCGTATGTCAAGAAGAATTCATCACTGGATAATATAGTGTCAATGTTTATCAACCTTCTATACACTCCATGCTTTTGAGCTGCGACAAATTTCACGAGGATGTCATGACACCTCGAGTAGTCCCCAACGATCACATGTAAGTGACAAGTATTGGCGACACAATTCACGTCATCTGCATCTGTAGTATTGTCGTATGTGTATTCCACCTGGTTAGGTGATACATTACCCAACTCCAAGGACCAGATTAATCGCTGTGTGATGCCATGTATATACTTTTGAATTATCTCCACTTCTTGCCTGCAGGTATACGTGCGGTTGCTAAACAAAACAATGGTCTCTTGTGCAACTGATTTGCAATACTGCAATACCTCTTGTTTGGAGTCCAGGTCTGATAGCTTTATTTGAAACACCATGTTCACTGTAAACGGAAGAAAATGAAATAAATTAGAAGTCATTAGCTTTATCATGCCGCTTTCGAGTTCTGACATCTCCTGGTCGGAGTATTCAGAGGACAACAGTGGGTTTGAGCGACAATGCCGTGACTCTTCTAAAAACGGTGGCGTTCGGCACAGAATTATCATTGGATTTCGCCTGGCCTCCAAACAAATTTGTAAGACACTGCACTTATCCGCCTGAGAATATCTACGGATGAGCAAATTACAGGTTCTGATGAAGTAATGTGGACAGTAATCGTTCTGTATAAACGTGATTAGTTTGTTCAGACACAGTTTAACAGCTGTTAGAAGTTTGTGGGATTGCCAAAGTTCTGGAGATGTTTCCTCAATAGTCCAGAAAAGAGTTGTCTTGATGATGTATGACGTTATCACATTGGGCATTTTGACTTCGAAAAAGAATTTTTTCAGTTGTCGAAGCAAGAGGAAACAATTGATGTGTTTTGCATTCATACTGTGAACCAATGCTTGTTCGATGTGTGCAAACGAAATTCTCCAGTCAAGATGGTTTTTGGTGCATTCTTTACATCCAACAGGAACGACGTAACAACCACGAGGAACCTGCATGTCTATAAATTCCCGTGAGGGCCATCCGTTGGACCTATCCCGTAATATCCATTCGACGGCCACCGACGGCCATTCGGGACACCACATTCCTGTGACTAAATCTAAGTCACCTGGAATCCCTATTCTTGGTACCTCGAAAGAGCTTTTGCAGGTAGCACAAGGCCCCGAGTCGACGACATCAGTGATATCTTTCACCTTGCTGTTAGGAAAAGGTATGGCAACATTATTCTGTAGCACGTTAGCAAAATGCTGATTTATGACATTGCTTAAATAGTTACAATCTGATGTTGTGTCGTACTCAAACAATGACTTTATATCAAAAAGATCTGGGTTGAAGAGTCGGACGTTTCCCTGTTTTTTCAACCTGAGCCTGACATATCCAGAATTGATATTACACGACTGCATCTGAAACAGCCAAGTTGAAACGGGAACTTCAACAAAACGATGCTCGTACACGAAAGAATTTTCGCTCACAAGCATAATGTCGGTATCACTTTCGTTTCCAGTGAAGATGCTAACGTGACCCAAGCCTTCACCCAAACTGCCAAGGATCTTCAACTCCTTCACCCAGCCATGTGACTTATTGACTATTAATGCCACATCTAAAGTCAGTGATACATAGTTAGGTATTCGGTCTCGCATCATTCTTACTACAGTTGAAACAGCTATACCCTCCAGCATGGCATGCAACATCAAACTGTCCTGTTCCTCTCTGGTCGCCATGGAGAAGAATCTGAAAACAATCTTGATATTGTAAGAAATGTATCAAAGTAGCGAACTAGATAATATAACATAATATTGTTTTATCAATATGTTCATGTGTACATTTAATTTGTTCGGTTGTTGGATTTTTTTGCAACATGGCATTTGTTGGTTATCTCATGACGCGTGCAATGTGAGAGAACTAGCATATTTAAAACAAAAACAATTGTGTGCTATATAATATCTCAATATCCAAGATAATATTATTTTATAAAACCAATGAACATCAAAAATATACTAATTCTAGACGAAGTCTTTAAATTGTTATATACAAAAAAAAATCAACAAGTTGATACTATTTCTATAAACCACCTCTATCAAAGGTCAACTTGAGTCAGAAATGTGCATTTTATATATATATTACCAAACATTCTCCAGTTCCTCCAAGGTAGGTGTTCTTAATTTTTCAAATATAACTTCCCCGATTGATCAAAGATTAAATGTTCCATTTTTACACTTACTCATTAGAAAAAAATGACGATAGGCTTGGAAAATACCAAAAAAAATCGTGGAATTAGGTTACCTTCCTAAGTCCATGGACAAGTATGCAAGTAAATAATGCAGCGTGCTTGCTGCTTTACATTTTCTGCAAAGTACACTTGTTTTCCAATGTAGTTGAAATAATATTTAGATGTTATATCAGTGATCGACCACTGTATATATCAGTGATCGACTAAGTCTATACCAGTGAACGGCTAAGTCTATACCAGTGATCGGTCACTGTCTATACCAGTGATCGGTCACTGTCTATACCACCGATCGGCCACTGTCTATACCAGTGATCGGTCACTCTATACCAGTGATCGGTCACTGTCTATACCGGTGATCGGCCACTGTTTATACCAGTGATCGGTCACTGTTTATACCAGTGATCGGTCACTGTCTATACCAGCGATCGGTCACTGTCTATACCAGTGATCGGTCCCTGTCTATACCAGTGATCGGCCACTGTCTATACCAGTGAACGGCCACTGTTTATACCAGTGATCGATTACTTTCTATACAAGTGATCGGCCACTTATATATCAGTGATCGACTAAGTCTATACCAGTGAACGTCTAAGTCTATACCAGTGATCGGTCACTTTCTATACCAGTGATCGGTCACTGTCTATTCCAGTGATCGGTCACTGGCTATACCACCGATCGGTCACTGTCTATACCAGTGATCGGTCCCTGTCTATACCAGTGATCGGCCACTGTCTATAGCAGTGATCGGCCACTGTCTATACCAGTGATCGGACACTGTTTATACCAGTGATCGGCCACTGTCTATACCAGTGAACGGCCACTGTTTATACCAGTGATCGATTACTTTCTATACAAGTGATCGGCCACTTATATATCAGTGATCGACTAAGTCTATACCAGTGAACGTCTAAGTCTATACCAGTGATCGGTCACTTTCTATACCAGTGATCGGTCACTGTCTATTCCAGTGATCGGTCACTGTCTATTCCAGTGATCGGGCACTGTCTATACCACCGATCGGTCACTGTCTATCCCAGTGATCGGTCACTGTCTATTCCAGTGATCGGTCACTGTCTATTCCAGTGATCGGGCACTGTCTATACCACCGATCGGTCACTGTCTATCCCAGTGATCGGTCACTGTCTATTCCAGTGATCGGTCACTGTCTATTCCAGTGATCGGGCACTGTCTATACCACCGATCGGTCACTGTCTATCCCAGTGATCGGTCACTGTCTATTCCAGTGATCGGGCACTGTCTATACCACCGATCGGTCACTGTCTATCCCAGTGATCGGTCACTGTCTATTCCAGTGATCGGTCACTGTCTATTCCAGTGATCGGTCACTGTCTATACCACCGATCGGTCACTGCCTATACCAGTGATCGGTCACTCTCTATACCAGTGAACATACCAGTGATCGGTCACTCTCTATACCAGTGAACATACCAGTGATCGGTCACTCTCTATACCAGTGATCGGCAAAGTCTATACCAGTGATCGGTCACTGTCTATGCCAGTGATCGGTCACTGTCTATACCAGTGATCGGTCACTGTCTATTCCAGTGATCGGTCACTGTCTATACCACCGATCGGTCACTGTCTATACCAGTGATCGGTCACTGTCTATACCAGTAATCGGTCACTGTCTATACCAGTGATCGGTCACTGTCTATACCAGTGATCGGTCACTCTCTATACCAGTGATCGGTCACTGTCTATACCAGTGATCGGTCACT